TTCAGTGACATCATCGTCTTCATTGTGCTAATTGGGCCGAGTTTAATTCGCAAATCCGGACCCTCTGCAATGTCCACAAGCAGCAAAATAATCCAAATCGTGTTTTTTGCATGTACATCTCATATTGCTACAATCTGTTTGGCAGTTGCATCGGATCACTCGCAGAAGTTCTTTAGGGGCTGGAGCCAATTCATTCTGCACTGGTACAAGTCTTCCTTCATACTCCGTCCTTCCCCATTCTTCTGGTAGAAGCTCATCACCACTTCCATTCCACAGATGGATTTGGTAGAAGACACGAAGACTATGGTACTTTACTGCTGCTGATGTAGGTGGTAGACTCTGTGGCTGCACGTGGGAAATGCCAACAACCACCTTTTCGCAGAAGCGCTTATATCGAAGCGAGTTGAGGTTCTCTTTGGGTTCTCCATTATAGATAAACACCAAATCATTGTTGCCTGCTATTACAATATCTACTTAGAAAGCTGAAATCGCGTTAAATATCCTGGTCTGCTCATGGAAGTTGCTACTGGTGTTGAATTTCTTGATGAAAGCTCCCTTTCCTATACCAAAGAGGCGGGAGGTTGTGTCGCATCCAAGGAGAGAATGTGGGTACACACATCAGGGCCTAGTCGCTCCTTCACAACCTTTATGTTCCACACAAGTAGTTTTTTCGTGTTGTCCTTTTTTTGGTTAAGGTCGGAAGAACAGGTCATGTGAATCGAGGTTGGTGTGGTAGATGAGCAGGATGAGCAGATCTGTGTCATCGTCAATTAGCACAGTGTTGGTCATGGTTGCCGACTTTACTGCTTTTCGCACAATGAGGAGATCAGCATCACCAGGATCATGGTGTGTCCGGCAATTCACTCTCTGTAAACGGTCACTGAGCATATTGATAAACCGTTGTTTGTTTGTTTTGTTGGCCAAGAATTGGTCCTTCTTCATGGTAACACGCATGTCCTCATCGAATATTTGTTTATTTGTTTGTTTTTTTATATGAAGTTAAGCACAAAGCTACACAATAGGCTATCTGTGCTCTGCCCACCACGGGTATCGAAACTCGGTTTTTAGCGTTGTAAGTCCTCGGACATACCGCTGTGCCACTGGGGGCCTTCATCGAATGTCACGGTTTGTCTGACATTTTTGCTCATCTCTTATGTGTCATGTCCATTGTGGATGTATTATCATATTCATAAAACATGATAATTGCCTTTCTATACTTTCTTGTGACGTGTTCAGTGTAAAGAGAACAAATGTCCTTGTATGTGTAGTCACGTGTCCATAGGATACGCTGAAGTAATGCCCCACCATCCAACATGTACTGAAACTCGCCTGTCATCTTTGGAATGTGAGATTTCGGGAAGGCCCAGATAAACCTGCTAGTATTGGTTTCTGTGGCTTTCGGAGTAGCAATGGGGAATTAAACAGAGCTGGTGGATAACTGCACAGTTCAACTTTGAAAATCAATTCTAGGTCGTATTATGTCTTTTCAGCAATCGTCAGTCACTGGAAGAGCAGCTGAGGATCAACCTGTATGCAGTCACCTTCAATCATCACTGTAGATTGTCTGTCTGAAGCTGTGACTTGATTCTTCCTCTTAAATGTGTGCTTTGCAGCCATCTGCCCATACATGGAACCTAAGATGTTGTGTACAATAGATTTTGCCACGTGAACATTAACTGTGCCATGTGCGTTGGACGCACGTCGAGACATTGCGCAAACTTGGATCGGGGCTGAAAGGATTCTCTCTTGAAGATAGCTAACAACTATATGTATGTCTTTCATATCTCGTGTTTGTTTAGCCTTTATCATGTCTTGTTTTGCTCTACTGCATTGTTCATCTCAACACATGTAGGCATGGAAAGCGGCCATATCAGGCGTTGTCGCTCCGTCATCCCTCGAGTGAGGCCACCACTGGTCTTCATGCTTCTCATTAGTACCTGATCGGTGATGAAATCTGGGGACAGACCAACACATAGACGATGACGTCTTCTCACCACGTGGTAGCCTTCTTCAAATCATCGGTAAACGTCTGGATGTTCAACCTGAAGATCCAGCAACCGCTGCACATAGACTCGAGCTTATTTCGTGTAGATGCTGCCAGGAAGGGAAGCATTTCCGAAACTGCAGCTAAGTGCAACAATCAGTTACCAGCACGTTCTGCCCTGATAAGTTTGCAAAGAATATCCACCATATCCATAGACTGCAACCAGAGTGCAGCAGTGCCAAACGATTTTAGGAATTCTGTTTTTCTTTTGATGAGGTCCTCGATCCTAGTCAGCACATCAGCATTGTATACATCCTCTAAAAAACCTAATGCTCCATCAGCTTTTTGTAAAGAATATGGACTTCATATATATCTGAATTTCCAGTTCCAGCTATTGTAGTCTCTTCATGTGATAATGCTGTCGATTCTGTGGTCTCCCGTTATTCCAGGTCTGTCAGTTCTCCCGGCTGCTGTGGGACAGACACAGCAAGTGCATCGGACAAAATCAGGGCATTAAGTGCCGCGCCAACAAGGAGATGAGCTCATGCAATAGCCTTGTCTATCATTATATGTACCTATAACATCAACCAAGTTTATGGTGGGTGCCCCCATCTTCTAGATCCCCCAATGCACCTTTTGAGGAGGATAACGCCTCTTTTATTGGTTTTGCTGCATGATTTGGTAGAGGTATGTATTATTGTTTTAATTTAAGACTAGTGATTATAATTATATTTAAATAAAAGTAAAATAGAAAAATGAATAACTGTTAACCTCAACTTCAATACATTCCCCATGCAGGATCCCTTAAGAGTTTTGATATGTTATAGAGGAAACCTTAATGAGTATGAAACAGTTGAGACATTTTCTGTTGCAATTTGTATAAGGTTATATTATATATTGTCTGTACCATTTATTCAGTGTCGGAACTACAAAAGATGAGTCCCTACATTTATTTCCTTATAATTGTAGTTACGACTTGGTCCCCATTTGGTTCGGGCCCTCTCGCAATTGTGGAGGCTTACTTACGCCACTGTTTCTACTATTTTTTACTACGTGTTCGGATTAGTACAGTTTTTGTAACGCCTAAACACAACGCAATGTAGTATCAGTATGCTAAACTGAATCTCTTTGTGAATGTTTAATTCATCTGAAACACAAGCCCCAAAGTGGACTAGCAGTAAGCTTGAGGACTTAAAACGTCAAAATTTGGGTTCGGTACTCGCTCTGGCCACAGTGCAGATAGCCCATTGTTTAGCTTTGCGCTTAAAATTAAACAAACAAACTGAACCACGCTTCTTTTCTTCCTGCTGATATTTCATTCCTCAGTAAAATGTGGCGGAATATTTTTACCCTTACTCTTCAAATAAATAAAAATGTGACCGTAGAAACCTGTAAAATACGCATGTAAAAAAGATTTCAACGAAAATTTACAATTCATTTCATATATATGCATAAGTGTCTTAGCCTTACTGAGACTTTATTCTGAAAGTATAGATAAATTATACATTGATAAAGAAACCAAG